CAACAGCTACTTAGCCATCCACCAGCCTGCTTGCAAGCTGCCCAGGACTTGTGACTTCTTGCCAGCTTCCCCATTCACTATGATTGTTGGAAGCTGGCAGGAAGTCGCAAGTGGTTCCTCACTTAACCAGCTGCGATCCTCACTTGGGGACAGCAACAGGGACTGCTGGGATTACATTGCTAAGTGAGTCAGTCACGTGACCTCACACTTTACAATTGTATTGCTTAATGGTAGAAATTCCAGGCCCCAATTGCCATTGTTAAATGAGAACTACCCGTGTGAGTAAAAGGGACAAAATACAGTAGGTCAGAAAGTAGTAGTTGTCACATAGATTATTGTGAATGCATATGAAAATGTCAGTTCATAGATTCATGGACCAACATGCTACGCTCCAGGGAATGATGAAAATAGATTAAACATGAATTTTGAGAAAAATTACAAAACATTATGAATGAAAATGATCCTGTGGAAAAAGACTATTCTGGTAGGTGACATGAATGAAACAGCGGGAATGAGTTCAGTTCACAGAAAAAGTTATATGGACATTTAGAGACTCCAGAATGAGTAAGAATTTCTACTTAAAAAGATGTTATTTTGAATACATTGAGTACATATAAATATATTAATGCATACATGGGAAAAGAGAATGTTTTGAAAAGTATAAATGATCCGATTATGGTGAAAAATAAAATGAAATAATTAGTGATTAATTCAAGAATGATGTGGGGTTCTGAATCAGGATCTTTGGGCCTTGCCAATTCCCTTATGTTGCAATATTAGGACTGCTGTACAAAACTTACAAGATAAAATGCCATTGTAACAAATATTATCCAAAATGCCTACTGCCATTTTTTCATCTTTGTTCTAGATCTATTTTCTTGGACTTTCCATTAATCCTCAGTATTGTGGATTTAGGATGCAGCTTTATATAGATTTTTCAGTTTCAACAGCTGTATATGCCAAACCATATACAAACCATATACTGTATGTACTCTTTTAAATCAACAGTTAAGTATAGTTTAATAAAAAGTTCTTTTCGCTTAGGTGTTGCATTTTTGCTTGCCGACGCTCAAGATTTGCTATTCACAAACAGCAAAGTCTTTTTTGAAAGAATAAAAAAATTCATGACCATTCACAGAAATGGATTTTTACTTTTATCAGCTGCCCTTCATGGACCAAAAGAATGGGAAGTGATGTTCAGAATTCAGCAGAGGTATGAAATAATTAAATCATAATTTGAAACTTGCTCTATTACTAATGGAAAATGGATGTATCTACAGCATTTGCTGACTCATACTACTTAAGATAATTTATTTCTGTTCATTCAGTGAAACCAAACCAAATAATAAAAGCATTTTACATTATTATATTTCAAATTATAACATAAGTAAAGATTCTCAATCATTTGGACCGTTTACAGCCACAGCTGAGATTCAGTTACTACATAGAAAATGCATTTTTTATTTGTGGATATCCTTTGGAGAGACCACGATTGGGGAAATGCAAATTTTCTGGTCCTCCTCGGTCTCCCAGCAATTTTTGATACCACTGACCATTGTAACCTTCTGAATGGTCTCTAAAGGATTTGAGTGGGATGGTACTGTTCTGTAGTGATTTCCCTCCTTTCTAAAGTTGTGTTGCCAGTTGGTGGTGATGGGAGAGATCAGCCTAATCCTCAGGCCAAAGCATTGCCAAGAAAGGGCTGGCCCAATGGCTGTAAGCTGTTAAATGCCTTCAAGATGAATTTGGATCTGTGACCTAATTATTTCAGGGAAATTCCATCTTTGACTTTGAGCAGGTTGCTCAGGGATGGCCCATAATCAAGTTCCTATAGGCTCATAGTTCTTACCTAAAACTTCCTATTTGGACTACTGTAACACATTCTGCATCGACCTGCACTTGAAGAATATTTAGAATTATGTGTGTAGGCTACGTCTTCCTGTCTTGAATGCTACATTTCCAGTGGCATCTAAATGTGACTTAAGGTGCCACTTGCACTTTTAAAGCCCGATGTGGTTTTTGTCTTAAGGTCTGCCTTCTTCTGTATGCATCTGTTGAACCAGATCAGATAGAGTTAATTCCCTCCAGGTTCAGTACTTGACAAGTGTCCAAAGCAGATGTTTTCAGTACCTGCTTTGCTTCTTTGAATTTCCCTCCCAAATTTAGGCATCTTTTGTATCTTTTACGCTTTAACAAAGCTGTGAAGACTGTAAATATCCATTCCATCTTGCACTGGGAGATGGTGTGTTGTAATTAAAGGTGGGAATAGGGCATTTATATTTTCTGTTTTTTATCTTTCTTGATTTTTTAACACGTATTTGGGATGTCATTATTTTAAGAGCTTACATAGTTAGTTGCCTAGAGCAGGGGTCTCCAACCTTGGCAACTTTAAGCCTGGAGGACTTCAACTCCCAGAATTCCCCAGCCAGCTTTGCTGGCTGGGGCATTCTGGGAGTTGAAGTCCTCCAGGCTTAAAGTTGCCAAGGTTGGAGACCCCTGGCCTTGAGCATTCAGGTAGGGGTAATAAAGAACACAAATCAGTAAGACCTGCCATCACTTTTTGTCCCTCTTGAGCTTTCTGGAAATTGTGAAGACCCGCACAGAAAATGCAACAAATTAACAGTTTCCAAATATACATCCATGTAAAGCAGTGAGTCTGGTTTCAGTGAGATATGCTACCAAGTGAATATTTACAAAACTTTCAGCATACATTTACCTATGTTTGATAGTGGAAGGTCTTGCTTCCAATTAAGAAGCAATCAAAATGCATAGTATAAAATCCCAGATGACAAGAGGAGCATTTTATGAATATTACAGGAGATATGTGGACTAGTGTTTCATTTATTAAATAATCAACAGTAAAATAGCCTACTTCCCATTTTAAACATTTATATATCTATCTCCCACTATTTTAGCCAAGAAATATGAAATCCCCAAATGTAACTATCATATATACATTTATGTAATTTATTTATTTATTAGATTTGTATTGCCACCTATTCACCACGGCAACTTTATCTGTACTAAAAATTTAATGTACAAATGGATATTTATAAAAAATTCTCTGCTTAAGGTTTTTAGGCAGTAATTTACGAATAGTTCCAGTCCATAATACTGCTGAAGCTATTAAATTAATGTTGACCATAGCAAAGGTAAGTGCAGCATTTGTATTTTTAAAATTCTATGTCTATATTATTATGTAAATATAAATATTTGCACTCAAATAGATTCATTTGTTATGCAGTACTATGAATGTAACTGCATGGTTGCTTCCACAGTAGAGATTTTCAATTTCAAGACAGCTTTTTCTTATAATATTAATTATAAATGCATCCAATCCAAAAATTTCCTAAAAATGAAGAAAGACAAATAATACCAGGTTTTACCCAATTATTTGGTTGAGCCGAGCATACACAACATCACATTGCCCTTTTTTGTTCTATACTGCAATTGTTGACTCTGCTTTTGCAGAGAACTTTTCAGTTCAGTCTGCCATCCCACCCACCCCAGACCAGAATGCCACCTCGTCATTTTGAATTACAATCCAGCAGCCCAATTCAAAATTCATTTTGAGAACAAGCCTGAAATTACTTCAACAGACCCTACTTCTCAATATGCCTGTAAACATTGTGTTGCAATGATATTTTAATATATGCTTTCAAGAGCAGATAGTAACTATTTCTGTTTAGATCACATCAATATAAAATCAGAATTAAGCCTGAGAGTTCAATCGCTTGAAAAATGTCAGAACTTTTTGTAGAACTTTTGCTTTGATACTGTATGGTAAAATCCTCCAATCTTTCTCAACTGTTATAACATAATACATAAATGACAACTACCGGTATAACCTATTATACTTTTCTCTTATTGGAAGAGTGCTTCAAAACCCTATCTGGACAACATTCACTACAGAATGCTAATGGCAAAGACACAGATTATAGAAAAAAGCCCTGTTTGGAAAATGCTTCATCACAGTCAATTGCACTGAAGTTAAACACCATCCAAATTATTTAAAAATTTGACCATGTTTATTTTGTGCTTTAAAAAAAACGTCCACAAAAAAATCAACACCTGTCTAAAAATACTCTTTAATAGATATGTTCAAAATAAAAAAAATTCTCTGTAGTTAGGTATTTAATCTTCGGTATAAAGAAAGGAATATTACCCTTATATGTTTTCCTTTCAATAGTCAAAAGGACAGATATAAACCACAGCTTGTATATAAGGATCTCAGTACCTTCTAATTAATTTCAGGGGAGAATGGTCATTATTCAAAAGTACAGAAGAGCAGCTAATAGACATGATTCCAACTTTACAGTTTTACATCACAATAGTAATTTATTCACTTCTATTTTTGCTTTTTGATAATTCTTATTCTGTATTTTAGCAATGTTATTTTTATTCCCTTTGTATTACTGTACCATGGGGACTTATATCATACAGATTGAAATTTAAGTAATACGAATCATATTTCCAACACTCAGTATATAAGCCTGTGACAAAGATAGGAATTAAAGTATAAGCAGCTTTTGTCAACTGATTCACTAGTATGAGACTTAATTCTATGGGATTAAATCTAGAACCAGCTGGATTCTGTTAATGGAAGAAGCCCTACTATTCATAGAACAAATTACAATCCAATTGGAACTTGTGGCTAGAAGGGGAAGGGTCGAGAGAAAGCAAACAACTTTTGCCAATTATTTTCTACTCCTTCCATTGTGTTTCTCAAACTGTCCTGAAGAATATGTCTAATACTCTGCATCTGATTTCCATGAGATTGAAGCAGAATAGTTTTCCTCAATTTTTAATAATCCATCTAATCATTAATCTTGTGAATAAAATTTATTGTACCAAGTAATATCTTTTATAGTTCTTTCTTACTTTTATATTGGTATTTTATTTCATAGTATGCCTTTATAAAAAGGTAGTGGTACATGTTAGTGTGAAACTACATGGTGATAGATACCTGTGGTTCTGATATTCAAAATATAGCAAGGGCACAATGTAATCCTGGGACTAACCTCTGAAGGTTTAGGAGAAAATATATATTCTAAAACTTATCTATAAGTCTGTAATTATTATTCTTTTGCTTTTTTTAAAAAAAATTGGCATATGTTGTATTTCGGTCAGTCTGTCTTGATAAGTGGAATACTGAAATAAAGATTTTATTTGATTCCAGTGGTTTCTTCAGTTGCAGCCTTTGTTTTCAATGAGTTCTTCTACCCTTGCCAGAACACTCTCCATTAAATCAAACGTGAAAAGTGCAGAGTGAAGAGCCTGAAACAGATTGACGTTATAAATTTACAAGTATCTTGGGAATGCTGATGTATCAAATCTTTAAGTAAAAAGACATACACATTTTAACAGTTTCCCTAAAACCAAATTACTTACTTGAAGCTCCATATCCTTTGTAATTCCTGACATCTTTGCTTTAGCTATCGATTGAGAACGGGTCTTTTTAGAACTGCGAGGCTCTGCTATGGAAAAGAATGAAGGCTATTAATATATAATTCCCTGTAACTTCACTTTGGCTTGAAACTCACTATATTTAAGAATCCCCTGCGGTCAATCTTACTGGCATTTCTTAGAGGACAACTCTTAACATAGAGCTCATTTTCATTATTTCATTCATTCATTCGGTTTCTACAGTCACCTATCTCAACCTAATTGACTCTGGATGGCAAGTTGTTTGGTGTGATGATGGATGATTGTAAGTGCTCCTTTTAGCATGGAAGTTGATCAGGTAACTCTGGGCCATTTATTATGTACATCATCTTGAATTGTACACAATGAAGGCAAGTGTAAACCAGTAATTGTACGTGCTATTTTTTAAATTTGGTCATTTATCTATAACTCTTTGCACAGCATTTTTCTGGGAGTACATGTAACAATTTCTTAGAGTCCTTGTAAATTTACACTTGTGTCTTCAATAAGAATAACTAGCTACCCTTGTTTTCTGCAAGCCTTTATTTAACTTAATTTGTTAAATTTGTATTCATTAGCTGCCCACTGTTACTCTTTTTAGTACTTTCCAAGCATCAGAGTCTTCACTGATAGCTGTTATCTTAGCATTATGTACTCCAAATATTTTAATTGCATTGTTGTTTTTCCTGTGAGCAGTTGGCATTTTTACAACTAACATTGAATTAATTGTTTTTGCTGTCTAAAATATGAATAGTTACCCTTGCAAAGAAAATTTCAGACTTGCAGAATCAACACTGACTCAAAGGCACCACCCAACACTACATTAGAGTATAAACTCTAATACTTTTAATTCATATTTGGAATATATATAGCCCCAAAACAAAACAAAAACTGGTATCCAAGTGAACCTCCACAGAGTGAACGCGTTAAAGGTATTGAGGTGATACGCAAAATTATAAATTCTTTCTATTCTACAGTGTTACTGGGGATTACCAATTTTGTCATGCTGAAGTCAACTTATAATTATGCAAGATAATGAATATCTTTATATAAAGAGTTTTCACTCTTTATACTGCACAATGGATCATTAATAGAATTTAACACCAGAATTCCAATTTACATATCTAATAAAAATCAGAATGCAAATCCTGTATTATTAGCAAGAATAGCCAACTCACAAAAATACATAAAATTATTCTGAACTATTTTTTAAAAAGTCACAGATTCCTGCTCTTTGTAATCTAGCTTTCTCTTATAGTGAAAGGTCATATGTATTGACATATTAGTACCTTTGCTTAAAGTCCAAAGGTCTCTGGTTCAAACCTAAAATCCATTCTTAGGTCAAGATCCTTTTGAGATTTTGACCATCTCTATTTATATATGGAAATATGCTAAGAAGAAGTTTCATATACCCTCCTTAAATAGATCTATTACTCTATTTGTTACTTAAATTTCACATAGTCCAAATACTTTAGTCTAAATTGCAGTATTCCTTTGTGCCTGTGAAAACTAAGACATGCATAAAATAATGAAGTTAACTAACCTATTTTATTTTCTTTCTTCCTTTTTATTTCTGCTTCATAGTGTGCTCTTGACATATCAAGTCCAATGTGTAAAGGCTTCAAGAAATTTCTCTCTATCTTGTAAAGTTCTGTCCATATACAAGTCTCAGGGGAAAAAAGAAATATTAAATATGATTAGCGGCATTATAATGCACAGTATAAGTCTTAATAAACATTTTGTTCAATGACATGATTTGCTGGTTTTAAAAAGAAAAGGATTTAGGACCTAACCCTCATTGCTAAGCTGCATTTTAATCAGTTAATCCAGTGTCATAATATAATGTTTATTTTTACTCCTAACTGAACTTCAGATTATCTTTTCAGTTTTTGACATGTCTTCCGCATCAGAATTATACCTCATTAAGCTGAGTGTAGCTCCCCTAATCACAGAATGCACTATATCCATTACTAGATTATTTTAATAAAACTGATATATCATGTCAGGTAGCAAGAACAGGATTTTTTTTCCAATATTCTTTTATTAAAGATTATATTAACTATAGATTCAAGTATATAATACAGAAACATTAAAAATTAAAAAGTTCAGAAAAAGAGCAAAAAGGAGAAAAGAAAAAGCCTCCTCAATTCCCAGAGAGTACAATCAACATTAACAACTTATCAGTATCTCTTAAAAACAAATAAACACCTTTATTGAATACCTTACTCCATTCTCTATAAGCTCATCTCTAAAACCTCATCTTTTCATATAAATCAACACAAATCTTTTCCAAATATATAGCAAAAGGGATATTACGGAAGAGTACTATTGGCCTTAGAAAGTTGTAAATGGACCAAGGGCTCAGATGGACTTGATTTAAGACTTGGAAGTTAATTGAAAGGATCCTTTCTCCTGGGGAAATGTCCTTGTTTTCTTGGGAAGCTGATATGATGCCTTGAAAGCTGGATCAGGGAGCAACACATGGCTTCTTTAAAATAAATGTTTACTGGATGGGTAAAATAGGTCTTTGAGTTATTTAACTCTATAATGGAATCAGAAGATGTACTTGAAAAGGAACAAACTCCACTGAATAAAACTGAAACTGACTTACAAATGGGCTTAAAATTGTAGCCTACAAAAAAGAGAAGGAAAGAATGGATTTACAAATGAACTTGGATAAAGATTTAAACATTTAAAAGTTATCCAAAATTAGAACAGCAATGGGATAATTTTGTTTTATTTCATTTACAATGGAGATTTGCTGCAGTTGCCCTACTGGCATTACAAAAGAGACCTGACAAAGATGAGAAGAGATGAAGAGAGTAGGAAAAAAGAGATGTTAGAATTTTCTATAAGGAATTTAAAAACTTTTGAGAGAAAGAAAGATTGCAAAACTAGACTTGATCTAGTTGATCAAGATTAAAATAATGAGTTGCTATTCCTGATTATGTTTAATGGTTTTTCTAACTGGGGCTGGACTTTGATAATCTGAAGAGAGGAAACGAGGGAATCTGTTTAAATAAAAATGGAAATATAAATATAAAAGGAAGGATTCCGACTGGGTGTAGTAGATAAAATGTATAATTCTTATTTGGTTACTTCTGATAACCCTTATAGAAGGAGACATATTGAGCTCTTGTCAGATCACTGACCTGGATGATTCACAGAACTATGCAGTCCATAATGGCAGTTGCCCTAAGCATTTGGACAAGCTTTCTTTGGGCCAAGTAGAAGAACAGGAGTTACATTTAATTTACTGCACTCAATTATTACTTTATTGATGCCTTAGTGACAAATAGGTTGACTGAAAAAAACTGCTTTAGGGCTGTAGATGATTGATCCCCAATTTAGAAAATGGTCTGAATGTCATTAAACCATATCTGAGTGCATAAAACCCCGCCATAAAATCTGGAAATCCTGTAATGTAGGAAGTTTTGTGGCATAAATAAACTAAAGCTGCTTTCTAAAATCACATTAATTGCGATTTTCCATTCCTGAAATCAAGTTAAGCTTAAGGAAGAAACTTTATATATGTTACATTTCAAAACAAACTCCAAGCATGTTCGATTTGCAGCTTTAGGAGGAAAAATCCACAGTGCAACAGGGCACAGTGCAAAATACATATTACTTTAGTGATAAGTTCTCTTTTTTGTTTTGTGCAATATTAACCTGCCATTTCCTAATTAATTAGATGTTCAGCCTCAAGTTGATATAGAACTCAGTGGCGGTTTTGGAATAACTCCTGTTCCTCAGATTGAACCTGACAAAGAACTAAATTTGCAATTGTTTTCCCATGATTAATTAATAATAGCTAAACAGCATAAACTTAGAGCACATGGGAGGGAGCGAAATCTGATCAAAGTTGGTTTCAAAATTTTAATATGAATTGTTCCCTTGATTATGACAAACCATTTGCCCATCATAATATACCAGCTGCTTGCAAAAAAAATCATATCAATCATTATGAAAAGCTGCTACCACCACTGAATATTAAGCTGGATAAACATCATTATTTAAAAAAATTGATGCAAGATGGACTTACTAAAGCAGCTGTGTCTGTTAAGCCATTGAAAGATTTATCGTGTCATAAAAATACTGAGGTAACTTCAATAGAAATACAAAACCAAAAAACCCCATTTACCTACTATGCTTTATTGTAAATATGTGAAAACTAATCAGAAGTGAAATTTTATTATTAAATTATTTTCCTTGATGTCTAAAAAAAAAAAATCAAAAAAAATTTTTTTTAATGTTCCTGTCACCCTTTTCCTTCTGGGTCACTCTGCTTTGAGGATTTAGGAATCTCCAGAAACTCCTACTATAGAAAATCCCTTTATTCCTAGAGTAAAATAGAGTATCAATGGTAAAATTATCACTAAGCAAGTCTTACATCTATTTAGGGGATGTATATCAGATGGGATCAACACCGCCACCCATTTTTTGTTCCTCACTGCTTATGGAGTCAGCCTGGATCCCATAGGGGGCTTATATTTATCTTTGGCTATAGGCAGAAAAGTTCTATGTGTTTGATGTATTTTGTCTGAGGACAGCATAGAAGATAATGGAAGATTCTTATGTGCAGCAATGTGTAAGACCTTGAGTCAAGGCTAAAATTATGGCAGCTGGAGGGAAAAAGATGGAAGTATTGCTCCTAATACTCCACTGAGATGATAAAGAGATAAAGCTCCACCGAGATGGACCAGTTGCTTTCGTGGTGTGGAGACAATAACTTGGTCCTCAACACCAATAAGACCAAGGAGCTTTTAGTGGATTATAGAAGGAGCAGATCAGACATCCTGCCCTTGCTATCAATGGTGACCAAGTGGAGCAAGTGGCCAGTGAATTCTGCTGTATAGTGCTGTGTTGGTGTGGTGTCGGGCGTTTCCGGTTCAATGTGTGAAGGATGTGTGTTTGTGTTTATTGTCATGGTCATGGTCATGATGTGCACTGAAGATGGTGTTTGATTTTGTTGTACGAGGTACAATGACAATAAAGTAAACTAAACTAAACACAGGCTAGGTAGCTGGAGCCAACAAACCTGCCCAAATCCAGTCCCATTGGGATGGAGATGAGGCCTGGCATTCTTTTTTTCCCCAGTTTTCCAAATAAAAATGGGATCAACTTTCTGGTAGACACATGCTAGCCAGCATGTGCTACTGAAATGAAACATTAAATGTACAATCTTGCATTAGAATCCCAGAGTTTCAAGTGAATCTGAACCATGCCTAACCGATGAAGTAAACTTGGAAGCATCCAGTTAAAATCAGCTTTTATTTTTCAGTACATACAGCTAGAATCAGAATGCAAGGTTGTAGATTTCAGTAATCAACATTACTTCAGGGCAATTACAGTAATTTTTTTTAATAAGAACACGGATGTCAGATAGCTTGCATGATTGGTTTATGTTGACTGATTAGTTACAGAAAGAAGCACATTTGAAAATCAGGTCAGGGAGCAAAGCTTGCAAAAAAAAAAAGATGAATGTACAAAAGAGCAGCAAATAATTCAGAAATGGAGGCAATATCTTCCTTGCTGCTTGAGAGGCATAAAATATTTGCTGGAGCAGACTTCAACTCTGAAAAGTGCTCCTGACAGCTATCAACCTTCCAGCAGAACAGATTTAGCTCTGGAGGACTGTTTGGTAAAGCATAATTTACCATCAGCAATTATATTGCTGTGACCTGGCTCCTTTGCTCTCCTCTCCTCTTTCCCTTGGGTGATTTCAAAAGATTTGCTTGAAATGCTAAATTTACCCTTCTTATTGTCTTGAGGCATCCTCGATTCTACATCTTACCTAAGAGAGGGTATATTAAGAACTGCTATAAAGATTCTCAGAAAAAAGCAGGGCAGATTCTCAAACAGGCTTAATCTGGAAGATTAGAGCGAATGGGTAGGAGAAAAAAAGAAACTCCTGCAGTGGTGCATTTCAATTTATGTATCAGGTAATATTCACCATAGACCGATTAAATATGACTATTTTATACATGCAGATTTCCTTTAGTAAATCTCTCTCTGTGTGCCATTGAGTCAATGTTGACTTCTGGCAAATGCTTGGATAAGTCACTGCAGTTTTCTTGGAAAGAAAATCAAAGTTCTTCATCATTTTTCATGGAACTAAAATTATCGATTCAAAACAAAGTGTGCATGAATAAACTGCTCCCATTGCTGTTTTCCCCATATAAAGATAGGCAAAATATAAAACATTCCCTTCTAGCTATATAATGAAATACCTTTTTTAAAATAAATGCAGAGACATGCAGAAATTGTTACATGAGATACAAACTGAGGGCAGATTTTAAGATGTTTCTTTTGCATGTAACTACTAGTTGGATCATTCAAAGGAACTGTTATATATGGCTATTCAAAAAACACACACACAAAATATCTAATCTGAATTTCTAAACAAGCCAATCAAAGGAAGAATCTCTGCCACCTTGCTTGGGGCTCCCATGGGAGCACAGAGCCATGTGGGCTGGTAAGCATTCTGAACACCCCCCACGATATTTTAATTCTGAATATTAACTATTTTTGCCATTTAATATAATTTTATATACAGTTTTCATGTTTTTATATTTTACTTGTACATCACCAAGACCCACTGTGAGGGAAAAGAGCAGTTTTTAAAGTTGATTAATACATTCAAGAATAATTCAATATTTCAATATATTTCAGTTGTACCATTTTTTAAAGGTCTACAATGACACAATCTATCTTTTTCAAGTAATACAATCATTACAGAATATTTTTTTTCTTTAAAAAATACCTTATTGTCATCTTCATTATCCTTAATAAGTAAATATCTCAGCAAATTCAGTGAGGCCATTATCCTGAAAATCAGAAATGTCAAATAATCAGCTACATAAAATGTTATTCATCACGCATTGATATATTCATTTGTGACAACTATTCTCAATTCCATAAATTCTTCATCAGATACAGAAAAATTACTGTATTACAAAGGATTCTTAATATTTCCATTGAATGGATGGCAATGTGTATTCCTCCAGATGTTTTATTTATTACTATTTACTATTACTGTTACTAATAACAGTAACAACATTTTGATCTTTACTACACTACTGGGAATGTTTTTTCAGCTTACCTAGCAGCCTTGTACCCTGCCTCAATTTTTCACCCTTAATAAAAGTACTGGCAAATGTTGAGCATATGTTGAGTTCCTACAAATAACATGCTTCATGCTTGTTGTGAATGGTAAAAGCAAAATGACATATTTGGATTAGTGAAGTACACTAATCCACCAAGTCCACAGTTTTTTAACAATTATTTTTTTTATTTAATAGTGCCTTTTGTCATCAGAAACTCATAATATGCTTATAAACTCCACTGGAAACTTCAAATAAGCAAAAGAACTTTTAGAAAGTTATTTTGTTAACAAATTATAATAACCTTAATGAAACACCTCAGAGAATGTCAGCCCTTCTAGATAGACCAGACTTAAACACCGAAGTTATGAATACTAAAACTAATTTTCATTACAGTATTGCAGTAACAGAATTCTGCAACTCTGGATGTGCTTCCCACTGACTGTCTTTATCCTAAAGAGAATTACTGAGAGTCGAGTTGGAGAAATTTTCTCTTGCTTTGCACTCACTTTTTTTTTTAATCTGACAGTTGCTTTGCTGCTGTTCTTAATCCTGTTAATTGAGTGTGGTTACATGATGACCCGGTTAACGATCACACTGACTATAATTCCAAGCTCAATTATGGTTGTGAATCGAGGACTAGCTCTACAGAGAGATACTTTTACGTCACCTTTGTCACATCTTACCTGTCTGAGTGCTGCAGAAGATCAGTTTCAGCGCCTTCAGGAAGTGAGAGCACCATGTCCAACAGAGAGATCAGCTGGAGTCCAGTAAAAAACTTGCTGCCTTCTTCCCTCTGGGGAAAAAAAAAGTAACACAGGAAACAGTAGTAAGTGCTTCATATATCGTCTGCATTACTATTATAGCTAATAGTATAAACAATAAACAAATTTACTTTTTATTCCAACTACCTATAAATATGTTTAATCTCTTTCCTTAATTGCTTCTTTCTCTTAATTTAATTTGAATTCCAAAAGCATGGTGCATAACCTAAACTTGATTTCCTTCCAGAGATATTTCCTTATCTAAACAAAGAAACAGAATGACAGGGAGCAAAAAAAAAGAAGCAATTTTTGAAGCATTGTCGCTGGCAGGGAATGTCAGAAATCACAAACATGTGACCCTGATTGATCAGCGGACTCTGGCATTATTGCAATTACCACAAGTCTGCAAATTAACTGGTCTGAAGATCTTTGAAATTTCAATTCCACAGGAGTAATGGGTCCAAAATTCTGTACACATTCTTTTGAGATACTATGATTCAAAAACTGTTGCCCTATGATACACCATTTCGGGTAACTGAAGGTTACAGACAGGCAGACAGGAGAGTTTTCGTAGTATTTAGATAGATATAATTAAACAGGCCTTATCTTCATCCAAAATCCAAAAGTCCTATTTGGAATTCATTGCATTAAATATCCTAAATGTATTTTAATCTACATGGATCAACCCATATTTTTCAAGATGTGTAAAAGCTATTTATTAAAAAATCTTTCTTTTAAATATGGTAATGAACAGTATTGAAAAAAGAAATGAGTGTGAAGCGAGACAGAGGGGCACTGGCGTATTCTGACATACCATGCAGTTTTAATTTCTAGATAATCACTAAACCCGAAACAAGTAATTATTTTTATTCTGCTTTCACATATGTTCATAGCTTCAATGGTACTATTACTGCTACTAATAAAGATAGTTGCAGAGACATGATGCCTGACCTGGAGGCTGGAGGGGGGGGAGATATAATATATCAAAACTAATGTTCACTCTGTAACTACAAAGTTAAACAACCCAACGGGGTTATCTTGGCTGGAAGGCTAGAGAAGTTTCACAGCTAATTCTACACTAACGTAATGCTAGAATATCAATATTTTCAGTTTAATTTAAACATGATAGGAATCTCAGAGCAAGAGATGAAAAAATCTTTTAGTGCTTTTTATAGAAGCACCAATACATTGAAGTATTAACTCTGCCAGAATGTTATCTGCTAGAGAACCCATTGCATTCCAGCTTTTTCTTTTTTGTTCAGTTGATAAGCCTCAGCCATTTATTTGAATGAGGACAGAATAAATCTGGTATTATGCTCTGCAGATTATGTTAAGGTAATTCACTAACATAGACATTTGTTATAATGATACATCATACTTTTCAGATAATTTTTTAAATATGAGGTATCCAGCTATTTTGGTTCTCAAATCTTTGAGTGAAGCCCAAAGACCATTTTGAGAATTAAACTTTTTTTTTTTTTTTAACTATAGCACCTAGTTTCAAGGTGGGTTTGTTAAGTTGTTTATCATTACCTTTTAATTAAACATTAATTTGTTCTGCATTGTTAACCTTCATTAACCAGAAGGATAATAAATCGTAGTCCCTTTTACAAATGTTTACTTGTAAACATTTCTTTGTTCTGCTCTTCCATCCTTTTATTTACTTGGATTCACTGAAAATATATGTATTTTAGCAGACAGCATAGAATAGGTTTTTTGCTCTTAGTTTTTGTAGCATTATTCATTATCAGTAACAAGTCCAAGCCCCAAGAATGATGTGATGGTTCTTTCAAACTCATTTATTTTTTCTACATCCACATACAAAATCTTGCCAGCCTAAGCTCTCTACTATCTGTATTTACCAAATACTCTGAAAACTATTAGGAAGGAGCTGTCTTCATTTGCTTTGTCTCACACAAAATATCTGGACCAAGCTGCCTTTTATTCCTCTAGAAAGGGGGTATCAAACTCAAGGCCCATGGGCTGGATTCAGTGGTGCTTAAATCTGGTTCATGGGGCTGGCCTGGAAACAATGAAGAACCAGCCTGCAGTGCTTCTGCCAGTGAAAATGGAGCTGGGGGGGGCATGTGTACCCCCTCCATGCCCCGTTTTCAGCTGCAACAGCTCCTGCAGCCCTCTGCCAGCAAAAACGGAGCTTGCCCTGAGGTCTGTTTTTGTTAGCAGAGGGCTATCACGAAGAAAGGACGAATAAAGGAGAATAAAGAGGGAAGGAAAAAGAAGGGAAGGGAAGGGAGGGAGGGAGAGAAGGAAAGAAGATTATTATGAGAGTGAGGGTCTCAGGGAAGTCCTGGCTTAGCACATGGCTACCACAGATAACCCCGACATGAGTGACATGAAGCTGGCCATGGCCATGCCCACCATAGCCACACCTCCCAGCCTTCCAAGGTCAAACACGACCCTGATGTGGCCCTCAATGAAATTGAGTTTGACACCCCTGCTCTAGAATGCACACCCTCCCCCACGGGAATTTAGCTTACTGAATTGCATCACAAGTGTACTGAAAATGTTAAATAAGAAGAAAACAAATAGATGATAGAACAAATCAATCCATTATGAAATAATGTATCATAAAGTATGATAATTTGTCCCTGGTTATTTGCCTTCATCTACATTCTACAAAATTGTGCATTCCAAACTTGATTTAACTCTACAAGAGTCTCTCCTTCACTTATGTTGCCTTCATTAGTTTTTCTCACCTTTAAGGACAAATCAATTTGATTTTTAATATTCTGAATAATGTGTCCTTCCACGCCAGAATGATTGCTCGTCTTCAATAAACATCTGTAACCAGAAGACCCAAAAAAGAAAAGAAAAATTATGCTCCAACTCATTTTCTCCATCCTTGTGGTCTCGTCATTTCTGACAATTGGCATGCCAACTGAGATTGATGGAATTTGCAGACTAAAATTGTGGGAAATCTAAATTGGGTATAATTTTTCTTAAAGATCATGTTTTGAAAATATAAAAGACTAGTACTACAGTCACATTAACTACATTTTCACTTAAAATACTTAATAAAAGTAATCTGAGACAAACCTAAATAATATGTATTTTCCCTCTTCATCAAACTTATCTAAATACAGCTGCAAAATCTTCAAACTTTTCTTTCTCTACATAGAAACACAAATATAGAACATGTGAGATTTATATGCATTTTAAACCCAACAATTTTAAGTCATTGAAAACTTTATTACATACCAGAGATTCAAAAGGGCATTGAGTCATAATCTTGACCAAATCCTGCCATTAAAAACAATAAAAATTATTCCACCAATATAGTATATGTTAGACCTTACTTATAAACTAGTTGGGCAATTTAATTATTATGTACAATGGGAATCATCTTTAACTCATTAAAAACAAAAGACTCCTTCCTTAAGCCACACTAAATATATTGGAGAAGAAAAGGTGGAAAATGATTTACAACAAAGGCAGAAAGAAATGGATTATGGAATAAGGGCTAGAAATACTATATAAAGCCCAATATTGTATACCACAGCCAGAAAATTATAGCAGATGTTCAGAAGAAAGCAGAATTTTTTGCACAGGTGCAAAAATTCTTGCTTCATATATCACAACACTATCAATTTGGCCTTTCACACCGCTTCCATTTTTAAACATCCAATACAGATGCCAACTGGTATTCATACTTAAAAATGTGGACTGATGTCCCAAAAGTAGATGCAAAATATTTGATTCAATACTTCATGTTCTCTGTATGATATTGAAATAAAAATTGGTGCCTACTTACAATATTTGACTATTTTCACCTCTCCTTTAGGAGAAGCAGTATTAGTTAATTGTATCTAACTAGAAAACATATAGTGCAGTACAGTATTAGCGTCCGAAGAGAGAGCTTTATTTTTGCTCCATATAAATTTTGGGATGTAAAGATGATTTTTCCATTAAAATGACAGAAATTACACTAGATTAAAAACGTACTAAAATTCTTTAAGAAAATGGGGATTTTGACCCTCCTTGTATCAGTCTGTTTAATTAGTCCCATTACAGCACTAAATAAATACTACTGACAATCTTCTTAAGGTGCTTGAGAAACATCAACACAATGCATTTGTGTAATTAAAAGTTTATAGTTTTCTCACATTACCTGAGGTGTTGTAATACAGCCTTCAAATTCCAAATGTTGAAGGAAAAGGCTATTATTTTCCAATCTGAGGAGACAGTTTTCCATAAGAGCCTATAAATTAAGTTGGATATATTAATTTTAAAAACTATGGGCACTGCTCCCAGTATATTAATCCCCAAATACAGAACACTGAAAGTATATTATTTTTAAATGTATTCAGATTCCTTATGGAGAATAACCAATTATTCTCCTTTGTTTACATTATCCAAATTTTAAACTGCTGCAATCAAGCAACTTATAAGAATTTAGTTCAGAGTGTAAATCCAACCATCTATACAGCTTAATTTTATATCAGGTAAATAGATTGTTCTAATCTTGATCTGTTTCATAAGTCACAATAACTCAACTCACTCAACATTTTAAAACTACACTATAACTTTCAGGCTGTGTGCAAACCCAGCTAAAGAGTCTGCTTTGTCTATGGCAATTTCTTTGTTAGATATGTTATATGACACCTTACACAACTGCATTCATTAACAATAAATTGTATTTCCAGGAATACATTTCATATTATACTGTAATAATAAATAAAATCCATGTAGTATATATCTAAGCACCTGGTTTAACTTGGGCTATCTTTTTAAAAAGTTATGTGAGGTTGAATGTAAATATTTGCACTAGAGACCTTCAAAAAAAATCCCAGAAATTGAAAATGCATACTAGATGAAAACAGTGGCAGTGGCAAATCATTTTCATTCTATTACTACAAAAACTACATAGGCACCAGAAACCAAGCTTGGCTTTATTAACCACCCATGAAATTAGATGTCAGATTAGAATAATTCAGCGTAATTGAAACTAAGCATTCAATCTGATTCATTTTCAAGCAAGCTGACATGAATTCAAGCTTGTTCATAAAAGCGTGTTCAATTTTAAAAAGTTGGAATGAACATGTTTTCTAAGAACACATGGAAAAATAATCTATGCATATTATATACTTACAAGCCCTTTTAATAAAACAGGTTCTTCTGTCCTGCAAAATAAATAACAACTAGTTTGTTAAAGTTTTTATTTTGTTGTCTTTTTTAGAAACAATTTCAGATTCTTGTCCCCAATGTAATATTTTCAAGATACAGGGTCTGTTCTATACCAAGACCCAGCACAGACTTTCAAATTAAACCTATTCTGAGAATATATTATAGAGGTAAGAACAGGATTATTGCACTACATTTCTCAAGGCTAGCACATAACAGTATGTTTTGTCAAGTCCTCTCACGGCTATTGAAATGGAACACTATACACATGTTCTCAAATCCAAGTGTTAAGGAGAGAGCTTTTATAGTTCAGTGCAAACTCAACTTTAAATATTAAAACTAATGCCAACTCTGTAAAATCAAGCCTTCATACTAGGTTCCTTAAATATATGAACTAACCACAATTTAGCCGAATAAGACTGAAGTATACACTTCCCTTGTTTCCAAACAAATTACTATTAATTGCTCTATTTTCCCCCCAACACTATATTTTAAATCTTTCGAAATGTAAAATAAAAAAGAAACAGCGCATACTTACCTTTTCAACAGAGCTCTAATATGTACCATATTGCACTGCAAAATATATGATGGGCTACAAAAGAGAGTGATATATACATGTAAGAATAATTTATCAAATAAAGGCAGTCACTTTCAATGTCTAAACAATGAGCATAATAATCTGGAAAATTCAGCAAACTAGACTAAAAAAGGGGAGGGGGATGTACTCCTGGTGTGATGGTGAATTGCTTAAACAGTTCTCCTCTTCCTCCTTCTCTCCCTCCTCTATCTTTTGAGCTCTCTCTCTCTCTCTCCTTTGCTTTGAAGGCAACTTTGTGTGTTATTAGTAAATATTTAGTAAGCGAAAATATTAACTATATTAACTAGAGTAAAAAAATAATCTGTGATCGTAATATGACCCTTAATAAATACAAGATGGCTATTCAGAAGAGTCTATTTCAATATACTATAATAGTACAATCTATAGAAAGATAATACATTTGAAAGAGGTGATATAATTTATGCACATATTTTCCATGTTGCGGAGGAAGTTAGTCCACCCTCCATTTATTTCTAACACTCATACCTTGAGAGGGTGGGACAGGAGGCTACAATCTCAGAATGCTGGAAGACCTTAGAAACTGGGGAAAATATTCCTTTCTTCTTTCTTTTGTTTATTCATATAAGAACAGGCAGGCTATTCTTTAATTACCACTATGGTACCTACCATAATACATAACTATTCATAAATATGCTGATAATTAGAAATGCTAATTGGAGTTTTTATTATATGACATTTGCATTACCTATATTTGTATTTTAACCAAAAGTTAGTTTAATTATCATTCCTCACAGTAAATATTTTCAGTGTTGACTTTTCTTTGGTTAAATCAGAGCCATAACTAAGTCTGGAAAATATTTTTTTTATAAATTACAGATGAGAAACATCTTTTGTCACACAATGGAACAATCAGTTTAATATGAGTGGAAATTCTTCATCTGCTAAAGGAATCCTGGTTTTAATTAAGACATATTTTAATTTTCTAATTAAACATGAAATATTGGGTCTGAAAATCACTATATAATCTCCATTTTCAACTGCCAAATGGCTTGAATGAATTCTTGCAGCCAACTAAACATCTATTTATTTAAGCAAATAGGTTATTTCAGTCACACTCTACAAGAAATCTGTTGTTTAACATAACTTTTCTGCAAATTGAGTTGAATTATTAAGTAGGGCAGATTATCATTCCTGTGGAATTTAATTTAATTTTGGTTCTGTTAGTGAAGTGAGACAAGACTTCCAGGAGGGGGGAAAAGTTTATAGAGCTAGAATATCTTTCAAGCTTACCGTATTTGCCGGCGTATAAGACGACTGGGCGTATAAGACGACCCCCCAACATTTCCACTCAAAATATAGAGTTTGTTATATACTCGCCGTATAAGACTACCCCCTCTTCCACACACCTTCCACTTTTGCACTTTTTTTTTTTTTGACGCACTTTTCTGCTTTGGACAATTTTGAAATGAGCTAATCCAATTTTGAACCAAGAATATGCAAATAGCTATGGAGTTTAGAAATGAGTTTTAAAAATATTTTTCATTGCTTACCATTAAGCGTAAAATATGTTGTAAATAAAATGAGAACACAGGAAACGTTCTCTTCTCAATACAGCTGATCTCTCTCTCTCTCTCTCTCTCTCTCTCTCTCTCTCTCTCTCTCTCT